ATCCATCCATCCATCCATCCATCCATCCATCCATCCATCCATCCATCATCTTCCACTTTTTCCTAAGTCAGGTCTCAGTGGCAGCATCTTGAGCAGGGAGGTCCAGACATCTCTCTCCACAGCCTCTTCCAGCTCTTCTGGGGGGACTCCAAGGTGTTCCCAGACCAACTGAGAGACATAGTCTCTCCAGCGTGTCCTGGGTCTTCCCCGGCGTCTCGTCCAAGTCAGACATGCCTAAAGCACCTCCCTAGGGAGGCGCCCAGGGAGCATCTTTCCCAGATGAATCACCTCGTCTCCTCTTGACAAACACCTACGTCTGTGTTTTCATGAAAATATTTCTGAGACGTTTTAAAAACGGTTCTGGAGGCGTGACCGATCTGACGAACACGTTAAAGCCGAGCGTCCAAATCACTCGCGTGAGATCAGATCATCCTTTTCTGCTTCCTGCACTTCTGTCGACGTCTTTGTTTTTCTGAAACAGAATCAAACACGATTATTTTTTCAGCCTGAGGCTTTATCATGAAAACACACAGAAGTGTGTGTTTGTGTAGCGCACTGTGGTCACACACACACACAGATCCCTGGCTGCTGTTGCCATGGTTACACTCCAGCTACTGGTTGTCCTCCAGAACACCAAGAGATGGAGGTGTTTGTGTGCATTTATGTCCGTGTTTCCAGGTAAGTTGAATCAGAGCTCTCTGTGGTTCAAGTTCGCAGACCACCGTCGAGTTCTGGGATCAGAAAAACACCCAGTCTACGCAGACGGATCCATAAAGCAGCATGGGTACCGTCAGACTCCAGAACCCTCAGTCTGACCACATTCTCCCAGAACCTGGAGGAAGGACAGAATCCTGATGGACAAAAAGTCTCGTCAGAGAACAGACTATGGTTTTCACAGATTTTACCATAAAACGTTCAGTGGACAGTCTGATGATGTCACCAACTTTAACTCTTTTGTCCACCATCTGTCCTCTTCTTCTACGGTTTCTTCAGTTGTTCTGTCTCCGTCCCCCCAGAGTGTCTCTGCTGGTGTCTCCTCTCAGAGGTCAGAGGTCAGCTCCAAAACTCCCATTGACTTCCACTGTCTGAGCTCACAGAACAGGAAGTGAAGGCTCCTTTTAACTTGTCATATCTCCTCCAGCAAACAGAACCTGTGGTACCATCAAACAGAACCTGTGGTACCATCAGAACCTTCTGCTGCTCACGGGCCAAGTCTGTTCTCTTTATTACCCAGCATGCTTTTCTTCCTCCTGTGTTTCCATCATGGCTGCCCCACAGAGTCTTCATGTCGGGGTCATGATGTTCAGGAGGATTCAGTCAGAGGGTCGGGAGGAAGCAGGAAGAAGACCGAACCTGGAGTTTCAAAATAAAGCCCAGAAGATGCCTTCAGAATAAGAGTCTGGTTATGTCAGAGTTCAGAACAGAGGAAGTTCTGTTGGGCTTCAGAGAACAAGGTTCATGAATGTTACTGCGTTAAGATGTCTCGATTTGTAAAATGATCAGACTGATCTCGGATCACGGCACCAACACCGCATCATGAGTCCATGAAGACTCCCTCCACTCGTCCCGCTAACTCTCATATAATCTTCTCAGTCTCCCTTTAACTCTTTACATTTCTTTGGGGAAAAACCATCCACACATTTACCGTTGTCCGTGTTTTTAATTTATTAACCTTTTTGGGTGCCGTCGATTAACATTTTTTCTGTAGTCAGGATTTGTTCAGATGCTCTCATATCTTCAGTGACTTTACTTCACTCTCGTGTTCCTGAGGGGGAAACGGTCCAGTTAGAATAAACTGACAATACAACTTACGTAAAAATATACCGTGACGATGTTAAACCCCCTCCCCCCCAACATCTTCCCCAACCAGACGTCACTACAGAGTCCCGTCTTGAGTCCGGTCAGACAGAATCGTTTTGGTTTGGATGCAAAGAACAAAAAGCCACTTGTAATGTGAACAAGTGAACATCTAGAAGCTGCTGCACATGCATGCAGGCTGCAGCAGCAGACTCCACGGGGCCGACTGCCCGAGGTTTGTCCCAAAGCAGGACGTCGTTAGCGGGTCGTGCTCCTGCAGCTCGCTCCTATAGAATCTAGCAATTCTACCACAGATGGAGTTAAATACATATATAAATAAAAATAATACAAGAAATGATCAGAATAAATCTCCGTCCAAAGAGCGAGACTCGACTGAAAACAGGTTTTCAGCTACCGGGCCTGCGGGTCCGGTGGGCTGGAGGGTCCTCACAAAACTTCAGACTGGAATTTTTTGAATTTGTCAAAAAATATTTTGGGGTGTAATACTAAAAATGTTTTGTTTGTTTGTTTATTTTTGTCTAAAATTGTCTAAATAAATATGTTGTGACTTTTTAAAAACTCAAATGTGGAGTTTTTTTATTTATTTAACAAAATACCGTTAAAGAGTTAATTTTTTAAAAAGACATTTGAATTTGATATTTTATTTCAAACTGAGGTGGCTCTCAAAAACTGACGAGTATTTTCTAGAAAAAATATTAAAATAAAATATTTCTGATCAGTTAAAGAAGGGGATAGTCCTAAAGTTAAAGGGAAATAAGAGTTAAAGTTAAACGTCTTCAGAAATAATCCCGTGTTTTATAAGATATATAATTTACTTAGAAATTGATTTTTCACTGTCGACTGCTGTTGCAATGGGAAGTCCCGTCATATAATGTTTGGTGTTATTGTGAAGCTCCAGGGTTAGTATTTTTAAATACAGGGCTGGAAGTCCTGGTGACATCACTCGTTTTTAAACCAACGCTTCGTAGTCGGGGATAAGTCTTCAAATTTCAACAAACTGCGCGTCGTCCTGAAGCTTCTGAGACGAAGAATTAAAAAATAAGAACGTGAAGTTCTGAAAAGTCCAAAGGAGTTCAGACGCTACAAGAAGACAGCAGAACCAAAGTGATGAAGAACACGTTTTAATGAGTGCACAGAGCATGCATCATCGTCATCATCGTCATTTTCATCACTGTCATCTTCATCACTGTCATCTTCATCACTGTCATCTTCATCACTGTCATCGTCATCGTCATTTTCATCACTGTCATCATCGTCACTGTCATCATCGTCACTGTCATCATCATCTTCATCACTGTCATCATCATCACTGTCATCATCATCTTCATAAAGTTTTACATTCAAATGGGAACAATCCGATGTTTCAAAGATCAACTCAAACTGTAAGTCCCATGCAACACAGACACCGATACAGCAGCAGAACCGGTACAGAACCCATCAGAACACTCAGCTGACCTGGTTTGGACCTTCATTTTACCAGGTAGAACGTTTGAGAACCTGCTCCTGGGTGAGGAACAGCTAAGCATCATGCAGAACAAACAGAAGACGAAAGGAGCCGTTTGTTCAGGACCCGGGCGTCTCTGAGTCACTGAAGAAAACAAACACGATTTTCACCAAAAATCACCAGACACCAGTTGAGTCCAACAGAACCACAGACGGCAGCCTCGGTGGCTCAAGTCTTAAACCCAGAAGATCAGCACCAAATATGTCTCGACCAATCAGAGAAGAGCGCACAAACACCACGAGCCAACACTACGGAAACGGAGCCATCACAACACAAAGGCAACAGCACACCGGTCCAGGAAATGGACAACAGAGACCCAGTCCTGAAGAAAAACATGGTCCGCCCCTTTAGTCAGTATCAGGACAGAGCCAAACTGATCTGGTCTTTTCCAGGTTCTACATCGACCCGACTCGAGCCCAAACTGAACCAGAACACACAGCAGTTTCTCTAAAACGTCGTCAAAGGCCTCAGAGAAGGACCTGCTGCTGTCCGTCAGCCTGCAAGGGTCAAAGGTCATTTCTAATCTCTCTGGAGTTCATCATTCTAGAGAGAGAAGTGGAAAATATTTCAGACAGCTGACAGTCTTCACAGCAGGTTCACCCTGAAGGTCAGACCGTGCAGTGCAGGCCTCAGTCAGCAGGTCAAAGGTCGTGACTCCATCAACAACACGGCAGCACAAAGTAAGTTCACCTGAAGGAACCACAAGACATCTGGACCAGAACCAGACCCAAAGACAGATGTTTACCCAGAATGCACTGCAGCAAACAGCTCCTCCCAGCTGTCAGCACGGTGGTGGAGGTTGATGGTTTGGACTCGTTTGTCATGGTGGAATCTGTTGTGTGTTTTGTTCCCTTGAGGTTAGATCTGAATCATTTTAGAACCTGGTAAAGACCGGATCAGGGTTTTATGTCCTGAACACCCTGGAACTGACTGAGGTGGACTGTCTTTGTACAGCACTGCAGAGTTCTGGTTCTGCTGTTAGTAAATGTTCTGATACTTTTCTTTGTGCTTTGATCCCAGAATATTTACTGTACGAGTTGTCATGGAAACTGTCCAACATCTTGTCAAGGTGCACATCGTCTCTCAGAGATTCGGTGAGGACGTCTTTCCTGAGGTCCGGTTCACCATTGCAACTGAAGTCCAACTGTCCAGATGGAAACAGTCCCCTTTTCTGTCCAGGTGTTCCTTAGTCCAGGTGTTCCTCAGTCCAGGTGTTCCTCAATCCAGGTGTTCCTCAGGTGAGGTGTTCTGCTGTCTCAGTGTTGTGTGGTGGTGTTGAATCGTATCAGCATAAGGCTTTTATTCTGAAAGGTTAATAAATTATTCTTTAAACCTCCGTCCCTGCAGACTCTTATAATAGTTCTCCTGTTCAGTGTGGTTCCGGATCTCTCGATCCAGCAGAACCAGAGCTGTTTTGCGTCTCATGGCCATCTCCCTGCGCTGAGCCTCGGCCGACATGTCCACCTGTGGGTGAGGTGGTGCTGGGCGGGGGTCGATGGCGGCAGATGGCGACGCTGATCGGCGTGGACCAAAGCTGCTGCCGCGGGCCGACGAGTCTCCTCGGTTCCGCTTGTTAAGGTCATAAGAGTCTCGTGGGTCGTCTCCGTTGGACACCATCACCCAATCCCAGGAATTTCCATTACCTGCCAGGGGTGAGGCCTGTGGAAGGGAAGGGACTTGCACAACAGGATGGTGAGGGGCATGTGCATCCACTGTGATGATCCCTGGGCCTTCCCGTTGGTTCTCAGAGGGGGGGCGGTAGAGTGGGGAGTCTACAGTGGAGGAGGTGCCGGAGCAAGTGGAGACGGTCTCTGAAGAGGAGGAGGGAAGGAGGCCCTGCTGCTTCGACATGGCGATGACCTGCATGAGTCGCGGCTGGTTGGCAGCACCACGGCCCGATCCCTCCCCACCTGCCTTCTCCCGGATGGCGATCCACTTGGCCCGAGTCACAGCGCTTTTTGGAGACACTGGTGGGGGACCAGCTTCTGGGATCTGTGGAGGTCTAGGTGTTACCACAGCTTTGGCACCCCCTGGAGGAGGTGTAGGGTTGCGACTTGAGCTTGACCTCACAGTCTGGATTGAAGGCTGGTATATCGGAGCCTGAGAACCTGCGTTGTCCGTTCCAACAGAACTTGCTTCAGAACCATCTTCACTGGGTTCCTTCTCTTCCCGGGCTCCCAGGCCATGAAACTCCATTGACTTCTGCTTCCATTCTGTAACCAGCTGCTGCGACCGCATCGGGTCCAGAGGTACCTGCACCGCCTTCAGACGACGCTGCACAGCTTGGACCGGCTGAATCACCTGGACCGGCTCATCTGGTGTGTCTGTGGAACACAGAGCTCCGCTAACATTCATGCTAGCTCTGGGCAGCGTGTTACTGAAGGTCAGCATGGTTTCTTTCCCCATGGGGCTCCGAGGGGCCAGTAGCTCAACGTCTACGCTTGCCCTCTTCAGGCTCCCCATGGAGCCCTTCTCCCTCTGCAGTGACCCCAGGCCCTCCAACCGGTCCATGGGGGCCGGAGCAGCCGCAATCTCGTCGTTACTCTCTGAGGCTGAGGCCGGGCCCTTGTTATAGACTGACTCGTGTCCTCGCTCTGTCAGTGCACGCAGAGGGTCTTCCTTCGGGGGTGGAGGGGGCAGAGCCTGAGTGACATCATCAGATGACTTGAAATTAGCAACAGCATGAATCGCCTGGGGGAGGAAAATCATATCGGACATTAGAGAAAAAGTCACCAGAAAATGTTCACAACTACTTCTTCTGTTACCGCAACAGGTGTATACTGACATGGTTTCCATGGCAACGTGTGTATACTGACATAGTTTCCATGGCAACAGGTGCATACTGACATGGTTTCCATGGCAACACTTTTTTTTTCCTGCTATTCTACGGTGGAACCAGACGTGTTTCCCCCCCCACCCCCCACCACCCGCTTCCCTGCTGCGCTCTTTTGTCCTGTGAACCTTAAAAAGCCTCTTTTTTCCTGCATACCTGTTAATTGGAAGGATCAGCTGGTCTCTCAACAAAATCGATCAACTTCTCCCGACAGGAGTCCGGGTAAGGAGGACCCTCTGAACTCTCTAAGGAACAAATTGGATTCATGATGACGACTAGATTCTACTGTTAGGTTGGTGGAATCTGGTTGTCTACAAATTCGTGTGGAGGTGTTGAAGCTCGACAGTGCTCGGACTGAATGTGGAGCTGTGACAGGGAGTTGGAGCAGCTGTTATCAGGACTGTGTTCTCCCTGGCAGCACTCATGAATGGTGGAATAATCTGGAGAAGCTGTGAGCTCGACTTTTGGAGTAAAGGATCAATTCGGCTGTTTTGGAGTTTCCATCAGAGAATATGTACCAGCAAGACTTTAAAGGCAGAAACAACAATTAAGAGTTCTGCCTGACCCAAACTGTGGCCTTGATGCCGGACTTATCTCAACTCCTCCTGGAATGTTCAGAAAACATCAAAGATGCTTTCACTGTTTCCTCACCCCTCCCTCCCCCAAGAACATGTGACAGAACCTCAACTGAGCTGAAGATGAACGTCACCTCTTATCTGGACAATGGCTGAGGGGGGGCTCTGGACTATGCTACGACTTTCCCTTAAAACTTCAACATCTTCACGGCCTGTATGTTCATGTATAACGTCTGTTTATGTTGCTTTGCTGTGGGAGGTTTTTTTGATGCCTCAAATCGTGCCCTGTCTAGGACACGGTGAGAGATCTTTTTTTTTTATACCGTCTCTCCTCAGGTTTTCTTTCCTTTTCTCATCTAAGCAAAACATTATTCTGAATAAGAATAAGAGGCCGCGCTGATTATTTTAGCCGCAGCTTCGTGCACTCTGCCCATCTTCGGACGACTGTACGGACATATTCGCGTTGTATCTCGGTGCAATGCCAATAAAGTTTATTCTGAACATGTGTATACTGACATGGTTTCCATGGCAACAGGTATACACTGACATGGTTTCCATAGCAACAGGTGTACACTGACACAGTGATGTTGCCATGGACATGAAAACCGGTCCACTGTTGTCATGGAGACGTACTTCAGGTGCTTGAACTCTTATCTCAGGTCAGATTTCTGTCAGGCAGGTGTGTGTTCTCACCAGGTACGCAGCAATAAACGCTCCAATCAGGAAGCCCACGTAGACATCGATGGGATGGCTGCGGTGCTGTGTGATCTGGGTAAGGCCTGAAAGTGCTGCTGCAATGGCAAATGCAAACACCAGGACCGGTTTCAGCAGCTTGGTGCTGTCTGAGATGGTTGAGTTAAAGTACATCTGAAACAGAACCAAATCAGAAGATCAACAGCTTTACCCATCAGGACTGATCAAACCCATTTGTCCCTGAACATTAGAAGCCCCATCTACCTGGAATATTGAGCATGCCTCAGAATATTAGAAGCTCCACGTCAGAACAAAAACCAAAACATTGTGTTTGTTAACACTTACAGACACATAAACAGCAGCAAACGCCGACAGAGTTGCATGCTGGGAAGGAAACGTTCTCCTGACAGGAAGAGACAAACCAACAATTAATGTTCCGTCCCCACCAGTCAGACAACCCAAACAGGAAGTGACATGCACACCTGGCCGTCATGATGGCGTGCTGGTCGTGTCCCGAGCAGATGTCTTTAGTGATGTAAGTGTTCTGGTCACATGACGCACCGGCCAGCGTGTAGTTGGGTTTACAAACGGTGAGGAAAAACGGGGCGTGGTAACCTGTCGCCAGCTGGATGATGTCAGTGAGCAGCGCCGTCGCACAGAGGCCAAACACATGCACGCCTGTAAAGACAGACAGGTGGCTGGGTCTACAGATAGACATGTCTACTGGTGTACAGGTGGACTGGTCTATGGGTTCTCAGATGAACAGGTTTATAGGTGGACGGTGCAGCAGACTCATACCTACAAATCGGACTGTCCTCCTCAGGAACGAGTTGAAACTACAGCCTCCAGCGTTAATGCTGCCTTCAGATCTGTGGATCTTCAGTCGGGACTGCAGGCAGTAGATGGCTCCTTCAACTAGCATGATCTGATCCACAGAACAAGGAGAGGTGGAGCAGGTGGAGACAGTTTATCAAGCCCTAGAACAGTGCAGTGGATACCTGACCCCAGAATTGTTTGAAGTTCCAGAGGTCTTGCTCTAATCCACATAAAGACACTGATCAGATGGTTTTAGCTGGGTTTACATGGAGGTCTTCTGCAAAACCTTCACTTTAAGGTCGAGGGGAGTTCTTCCTGTCCAGCTCTTCCTCGCCTGTTTAAGCTAACTGTTAGCATCCGAAGCTGACAGCCAGTTACATCTTCTGCTGCGTTGGGGACTAACATTTCGAAGCTAACAAGTGGAACGCCAATGCCCTCTGATCTCTGAGGGACTTGAATAGTGAATGTTTGTAGTTTTAGAGATGAGTGTTTTTCTGGACTTGAACTGAACAATCAATAAATTGAACAATCAATAAAGGATTAATAAAGTTCTATCTTATCGTATCTTAACAGGGGATGAGTTACACAGTGGAGAACAACAGAAGTAGTTTTTCTTCTTCTTGTCCAGCAGCGCAGAGTGACGAGTCCTGGAGAGTGGAGGGAGCAGGTCTATCCACCACCTGGAGCAAAGGAGGAGCCAGGGAGTGCCCAGTGGTGGCCTTGGCTCTCACATTAATTTTCGGCCACCCCAGTCATCGGAAGAAATAATATTTTTGATGAAATACCAGACAGCGTGGTTTCCTTAAATGATGGGGTGACATCTTGGATTTTGCCGTGGTAACACAATTTTCGATAAGAACCTTTTTTATACGTCTGGATGCAGCCACTCACCAACATGAAAGTCAGCACATTGCTTACTTTTCAAATGATCACGCTCAGAACGTGCACAGGCGGATGGATCGATGGTATTTCCAATTCCCCCTCTTCGCTCCGTGACGGGGAACAATAACTTTAATAGTGGACGATTTGTTTTGCTGTTTTTTGTTTGGAGGACGACTGCGCAGGATGCTACCTTCACCTTCTGTGGACCTGGTTGTTACTGCGGTTTAGCTGCTACTTACTTACCTTGATTCTGTTTACACCCACAGGTGACGGTCTTCAGTTCACCCTCAGAAGAAGCGTCAGGACATTTGAGTCAAACTGTCAGTTAAACATCGTTCCTCTCTATCCGTCCTGGACAGAGAGGAACAATGGTTTGAGAGAGGAGTAAAGGAGGCCATCTTTGTGAAAAGAAACCGTCCATCATTAAACAGGGGTGGAGCCTCCAGGTTCAACTGTCCCCCTCTTACAATGCTGTGATTGCTAGTATCACTCAGCCCTCTGTGAACAGTAAACAGCCATCAGGTGCTAATGATCCATTGTTAGGCTGATGGTCCTTCTTGAGCATGTGATCAGCTGGTTCTGGTTGTCAGCAGCAAACTGGTTGATCCACTCTGAGAAGGTGCTATTTAAGAGACTGAGCTGAATACAGCTCCTCAGACTGAGGAAGTCCTCTGGATGAGAGACGAAACGTTTCTACATTTTTTTGTTGTTTTGCTTTGTTTTGTTTTTTGAATGTCCAGAGGACCAGATTGAACTTTTTTAGATTTTTCTACCTGGATTATTGAGCATGCATCAGGATGTTTGACCACATTGGTAACAAATGTTGGGTAGGTACCGAAGCAGCCGGACCGGCAAAGGCGAGGCTCAGCAGCATCAAGAGCGGGATCAACTCATCTCCTTCATCAACATATGGCATGCTGAGATCTCTGTCATGGCAGCGAAAACCCACTTGGGCCGGCTGCACCACGTCCGTCAGCTCCAGGAAGTACAGCGACACCATCGAAGAAGCCACAATGGGTAACTGCAAACAAGCAAACATCATCATGAGATTGATGAGAGTCAGACGGCAAGTCACCAAATCCGTCACCAGGTCCGTCATAAGGTCCGTCACCAAGTCCGTCATCAGGTCCATCATCACGTCCATCACCAGGTCCATCATCAAATCCATCACCAGGTCCATCATCAAGTCCGTCA